CAAAGTTGGCACACAAAATTCACCAAATTCTATCCACTACAACTTCAACGAGTCCTCGATTTCAAACTGAATAATGGGGTGGAGTAAATTTGTAAATCGATTGCATCTAAATCAAATTAACTAAAAATCAACGAAAATTTCTATCAAAACCCAGCAGATGATCCTCCACACACTAACAAACTATCAAAAAGATTCAAAATTCAATCAATCCCAACTCGCAGAGAACTTCAAATCTGAGACAGAAAAGCCTCAATCACTGGATTCAATAAAAAAAATATTGGGATCAATACGAAACAGAACATTCAACTCTAGTCAAAGGAAAACCCTAAATCACTTACCGAACTGAGCTTGGAAGAGCGAAGAGCAGAGATTCCACTGAGAGAGAAAGTCGACGACGATCGCAACAGAGCACATTTGACGATCGAATCGAAGAAAGGAAGAATTTGAAAAACGATCTGCTCACACACAGTGCGGAGTTGAGAGAGGGAGAGAGAGTGAAACGGTCCGGAGCTCTATTCAAACATAAAGAGGCGGACTCTGGAAGTTTTAAAACCTCGAGTTTGAAGGGACGAACGGTACAGGTTTGTGGCGGCGAACGGTACAGATTTTGCCACGTAGGAGTTGATGCCGACCCCTCCCAAGACCGGCTTTACCTCTATTTTTTTTTTTTTAAATTTCAACGGCCATATTTTTGCTTATTAAGTAGGGTGGTGACTACTGTGCACTACCAATTTTCTCCTCCCTTTTTACTTTTAATTTTTTTCTTTTTCTTTTGTGTTTGGATTTTTGAAATTTTAATTTCAATAAAAACGAAATGATTTTGTAATTATGGTGCCGTTTTTTCACTAATGGAAAAGTAAGAGCATATCTCAATCCACTAAGGGTTGATTTGGAATTGTGGTGTTTTCAAAAAATACAGTTTATTAAAAAATTTGGAATATTAAATATGTTTGGTAAATAAAAAAAATACTTTTTAAAAAAACTACTATTAATGAAAATAGAAAAACATATAAAAGCAAAAGCATGGTCTATCATGCTTTAAAAATAAATAAAAAATTATTTCAAAGCATATAATCAATGCTCATTTAATGAAATTTTCAAATGGTAAATATACCCTCACATGTTTTACAAAATACAATTTTTATCCCTACATTATTGTCTTTGACAATTATTATATAACATTAAATACCATATATGTTTTAGTCATTTAACATATTCAAAACAATTTATATAAAAGTTTACCAAATACTCAAACATTATGCGCTCGTTTGGATGTGCTTTTAAAATGACTGAAAGCGCTTTTAGAGAAAATATTTTTGGGTTCCAATAGTACTTTAAGTGCTTTCTACAAAAAGCATCAGTTATCTGCTTCTCCCAGGAAGCACCTTAAGTGCTTTTCCAAGATTTACTAACATTTTTACTAAGTATTGTTTTCAAAAATATTTTCACCAAAAACACTTTCAGTCATTTTAAAAGCACATCCAAACGAGCTCTACTTCTTTTATTAAAAGCACTTAACAAAAAAAAAAAAAGTTTACCAAACACTCAACATATTTATTTTATAGCTGTTTATTCTCACAGCACAACAAAAGCAGTGTTTTTTAAAAACACAACAATACCAAACTAGCCCTAACTATTGTCCTTCGGTTCACCAACTTTTATGAGATTTGAGACTTTTTGTTCATATTGTATAGATAAATAAAAATATTATCAAAAGTTTAATTTATATAAATAATAACAAACTTAATATTTATGAGCTGAAACTAGGGGTAGGCGTGGGTTGGTTTGGGTCGGTTTTAGGCCAAAATCGAAACCAAACCAACCAACTTGGTTAGACCGAAATTGTAAACCAAAACAGATCAAGCTGGGTCTAAAGCCAATCAAGTCAATTAACCGATAATGATGGGTTGGTTTGGATCGATTCTCAGTTTGTGTGAAGACATAAATACATAACAAATTTATCTCTCAAAAGCTACATAATGTAGCACCAATATGAGTGACTGGTCAAAGGAAAGCACAAATGAAGCAGCCCAAGGAGAGCACCAAAGCAACAAAGCTGGTTTCTCCAAATGGTCCCTCTGCTCTTCTCCAAAGGGACTCAAATTAATCAGGTTTAGTTTTCATGTGGTGGAAACATGGTAACTCGTAAATAACTAACCATTCGTATTACTATACGTATTAATTATGATTAAAAATAAAATTTAATATATGCGTTGGTTCGGTTAACTGTACCATAAAAATTTGGGGAACCGATTACCAAACCAATTAAGGTCAGTGCGGTTCGGTTTAACCACTGAAAATTAAAAAATAAAAACCAAAAACCAAGCTGCTGGTGCAATTCAGGCGGTTTAATTGGTTTTTTTTCTTTTTTTTTTTTAAGAATAAATTGTAGCAATGGTCCATCAACTTTAATCAAATTGAAGCAATGGTCCCTCAACTAAAAATCAATTCCATTGGTCCCTCCAACTCATCAAAACGTGTAGCTATGGTCCTTTTCGTCAACTTCGTCAGAATTTTGTCAAAATGAGTTATGTTGGAATGACCATTACTACAATTGGGTTAAAGTTGAAGGACCATTGCTCCAATTGGGTCAAAGTTGAGGGATTATTTCTCCAGTTGGATTAAAGTTGAGGGACCAATGGTAATGGATTTTTAGTTGAGGGACCTTAGCTGCACATTTTGATGAGTTGAAGAACCAATAGTAATGAATTTTTAGTTGAGAGGTCATTACTCTAATTGAGTTAAAGTTAAGAGACCATTGCTACAATTTACTCTTTTTTTAAATGCCCAACCCTAGCTGAAATCAGTGTTTGAAATTTCTATTGAAACATCGGAAAATCAGAGAAAGATATGGAAATTGAGGGTGAAGCCCGTATCGGAGGAACTCTTAAATTTCTAAAATCAACAGGTTTCGTTGATCCAGACATATCAGTTGAACATCAACAAATTACCATCTGCCATTCTCTATGGTTTCATTTTAATTTTCACATTTTTAGCAGACCTCAAAAATTTCTATCGAAGGCAACCAATATCGATATGTCAATTGATATTTACATAAATTTGCATATCTATATTTCAAACGTTATCAATATTTTAAACATTGGTTGAAACTCATAAATTGCATATAAAAGGATTGACTAGAGAAACATTTTTGAAATTTGCATTTGAAAGAGTACACGATATTATTTTTAGAGTGTTTTTAGCAACAATTCTTAGTGGACAACAATATATGTGAGGGAATAAATCAATTATGACCTTGAAATGATCGTTTCTTCCTTCTTTTTTTTTTTTTTTTTTTTGTGAATAGAGGGATGAAGACACCTGAGACGAACTATTACGTAGCATTAATAACAATAGAGCAGTCCATAAGGGCGCCTACCAAATCATCCTTTAGATGTTGCATAAGCCATTGGGAAGGAAAATGAAAATAATACAACCCAAGGTCCAAATTGTAGCTCCATTTGGCTAGCTGATCTGCAACATTGTTCACTTCCCTGAAAATATGCTTTAGCTCACATGCTCAATTCTTCTTATCAAATCCCTGCATCTCTTCAAAAGGATATCAAGGGGGTGAAAGGTATCTTGCACCGCCTGGTTCAATAGTAATGTAGCAAAGGAAGAGTCCATCTCGATGAATAACTTTGATATGCCTTTTTTCAATAGCAAGCTGAAGTTCGAAATACAAACCCCAAACTTCAGCTTTATAATCTGCCCTTGCCCTAGATTAATAAAAAAAACCTCCCAAGCAAACACCATTGTGGTCACAGAGAATTCCTCCAACATTGATGTTACTCGAAACCATTTTATCAGAGCCATCCACATTCAACTTGTGCCAGCCAAAAATAGGAGGCACCCACTTCAACATAACATGCATCCGAGAATGTGGTTTATCAATTTCTAGAAGGAAATCAATCCATTCAAATGCAGCTCCAATAATAACCTTTTTAGGATCACTAGGGAGGGAGAAATCCACATAAAAAATCTGATGAGTCCTCCATTTCCAGATATACCAGCAAGCAAAGACTAATAAACAATTTCATGCTATCTTATCAGACCACATTATCTTGGACGTCACGTTAGCCATCAACCAGGCTTTCAAGTCCAAATTAAAAGTATTGCGCATTTGAGAAGGAATCCGTAGAATATCTCAAATATATTCAGCTCTACAACATTCCCTTATAATATGCGTGATGGTCTCCAAAGGCCAAGAACAAAGGTTGCAAAAGGAATCTACAGTTGAGTTTCTTTTGATTTTTTGCTCATTAGTAGGTAACTTACCTTGACCAATGAGCCGGAGGAAGAATCTAAGTTTGGGAGGGAATTTTGGGAGTCCAAATCCCGCCAATAAAAAACAGATCGTTCGTTTAAAGTAGGAGTAGTTATTTTGGTGAAGATATTAGTAGGAGGAAATATATTGCAAATGTACGTTTGATTGCAAATGTACATTATTAAATGATCATTTTAAAAAGTCACCACCTACCAAATTGGTGTCGGCAATCACCAGATTGAGTAACAAGGCATCAAAATTACCAAATTCCTAATAGTTTGAATAATTTACCACTCACTTTCATGATTTTTTTTTTTTTTTATAGATTAACTCCATCCATAAAACTAGCCACATCTTCAAATATTGGTAAAAAAAAAAAAAAAAAAAAGGAAAGGATAATAAAACTTGAATTATATTAATGAATTACTGTAATATATGACAATTTAAGAAAAGAAATTGGAATTAAAATTAAAAAAGGAAAAGTGAGAAGTGGAAGAATAAATCTACGGTTATATGTGGATGAGAAAATTTTAATAAATGCAAAAACTAGTTCATGGAAAATTACTTTTATGCCCATATTTTTTTTCTCTAATATTTTCTTTCCGTTATGTGTGAAAAGGTGTAATGGTAATTTCATAGTTTTTGCTTGACACAAAATTTTATTAATATGTAATTTAGATGTTATATTACTATTTAAAACGAAGCAAAAAAATAAAAAAAATAAAAAAACAAATAAACAAATAACAAGCTTATTTTATAGCTAAGAGAGACTATCAAAAAGCAATTGTGCTAATAATCCCTGCTATAATCTCTAGAGTATTGCACAAATTTTTTATCCCAAAACAGGTTCGTGCCGATGACTCGATAACTGTTGCGAAGCTCCAAATTCCGCCGACCACCGGAATTATCATCGGTCTCGTGAAGCTCAAAAACAAGAACTAGGACAACCTTCTCACAGCCTGTTTATCTGCACCCCTTCAACAATTAAGATGTCGGACTTGAGAAGCTTTTTGGCACTAGAGGAAGATTTTACATTTTCTGTATCCTTCTTCTCCGGCAGGACACAAAAGTTGAGAGCGTGACTCTTCACCTTCAAAAAACACTCCCAAGATGATCAGCTGATTCCGTTACAATGATAAGAAAACAAACTGCTTAATGAACTGATTGAAAACCCTACACTAAAAAAATTACGAAAAAAAAACGGAGCATACCAAATCACGAGGCATTCCTTGCCCCAACTTCAAGTATGGATGGTACTTCATCTTCACAGAATCCAACTTCTTCTTCAGAGAATTGTTCCAGTGGTTTTTTATGGCATTGTCTGTCCTGTTCACCATGAGCATAGATATATCAAAACTGTTGCAGGTGCACGAGAGTAAAAGGAAGAAAGCCCTGGCACACCAGTAGTAGCAATGCAAAATATCGGCATACCTTCCAGGCAAGAACTTCGTTATCTCTGCCCATTGGTTCCCGTAAATTTGATGAGCACGAATCAGAGCAAACTCCTCGGCCTGTGTCCATGCGTCTTTCTTTATGGCAGGATTAAGATGATTATGCCACCTAAAAGTAGTTCAAACACGGTAAGAAAAAGAAAGAAATCCTAGATCAGGATTGTACTAATATAGTCATCCACAAAAGAACCTGTTATCATACCTTTCCCGACACTGCTTACCAATACGTCCTGGTAGATGCTGCGCAATACTGCACCAATCTTTTGGGCCATATTTTTCCACCCACTCAATAATAATATCATCCTCCTAATCAATTGTGGAGAGACAAATAGAAGGAAACATTTCATATAAAAGAAAAATGTGTTGAACCGACAGAAACTCTCAAAAAAAACAAAATGAGGTGAGGGAATGAACACAAAAACAAGATGCAAGTAGTGCGATACCTCTTTAGACCATGGACCTTTGACCATTTTTGGATTCAAGACTTTCTGCCATCTATGTAGGCATTGCGTATCAGTCCGACCATTGAAACACTCGGCTACAAATGCCCAAGTATGCAATTAAACAATGTGCTGAAAGTATAAAGATAAAAAAGTAGCATTGACTGAGATAAACATGATTAGTCTCATGACATGCTAATAAAGATGGACACATCAGTAATAGAATAATACCAATTTTTTTCCAATTCTTTCCTTTAAAACGCTCAACTGCCCTCCGCAAGATCTCATCCTGAATACACAATGAATAGATTATGCGCACCACATATTCCATAAAGAAAGAGGAATAAAGAACGAACAAGAAATATGCATATAACTAAGAAAATGTATTAAAACAAAATTGCAGTGAATTCAACAGCAACTTTTCACATCAGGTGTTATATGCACCAAACCATAAACTCAAGCACCTTGTTTGATAGCATGTTCTATTAAAAGATAATTTACCTCTTCAGGTGTCCACTGTCCTTTCGTAGAACGCCTTATAGGCCCACTAGTCCTCCTACAAAAGAGTTGTGTAAATATTAGACAAAAATTGAGTCCTTACACTAATTCTCAGTTTATGAGAATTTTACCATACTAAAACAGAAGGAAAGATGAGAGAGAGATTCTGAAACATGGAAGATATTGAATCAACAAGGGCCAACTGCTAAGAAAAGGTGCTAAGAACCAATGAAAATATGCACTTCAGTTAACAGTTTTGCAAAAGCACTGAACAGATCCCTGTTGTACATTATCCTTGTTTCATTTACTTGGAGACGACCGAGTAAGCTGACAGCAATAACCACGATCCTAATCACTATTATTAAGCTGTTGAATGAAGCAAATTTTCAATAGAATTACCCATGAATAACTTGAACATTCTGAATACTGTCACAGAGCTCCTCCGAAGGAGTAGAATTCAAGTCAAGCTGCATAACCGGATTCCTACACCACGACACTCTCCAGTACTTGGACTTCTAAGCATTATAATCACCCTAAGCAATGGTAGGACCAACCTTGTTGCACACAAGACCTGCAAACTGCAAAAACACAAGAAATTACGAGACATTAAGCACAAAATCAACGACGAAATCATATTAAGAAATGAATAATAGTTAATCCAAACTCAATTGTGGTTTGATTCAGGCAAGTTAATTCCAAACTTAATCAAAGTTGGCACACAAAAACAAAACATTCACCAAATTCTATCCACTACAACTTCAAAAAATGAGTCCTCGATTTCAAACTGGAAAAGGGGATTGATTAAATTTGTAAATTGATTGTATCAAACTCAAATTTAACTGAAAATCAATAAAAAAAATTTGATCAAAACCCAGGAGATTAAGTACTCCCATACTTAGAAATTATCAAGCAATTACATTCAAACAAACCCATTACACACACACACACACAAAGCTTAAATTTCTGAACCGGGAAAGCCTCAATTAAGCAATTCAATCAAAAAAAGAAGATTTCAAATTTAGTGAAATGGAAACCCTAAAGCACTGACCCAAATGAGCTTGGAAGAGCGAAGAACAGAGATTTCACGGAGACGGAGAGTCCACGAAGTGATTGCAACAGAGCAAATTTGAAGATCGAAACGAAGAAATGGAAGATTTGAAAAGAGATCTGCAGAACAGTGCAGAGAGAGAGACAGGTCCGTATTCAAACGTGAAGGGGGGATAGAACGGACGGTGGAGTTTAAAGGTCGAACAGGTTTGATAGAACCAACGGTGCAGATAAAGGTCGACCAAGTTTAAATTTACCCTCTTAGATTTGGGATCGATTTTAATTCCTTACAACATCCTTAAAACATTTTACTTTAACACCTCATGTACTATTTTATTTCAATTTAATATATCCGTTACATTTTTCATTCATTGATCCGTTAAAAGCTGACGTGGCTGTCATATATTGTGCTAAAATAATTTTTTATGCATTAAAAATATTATAATATTAACCCTATTTAAAAATAAATTAAAAATAATAAATAATAAATAAGTAAAAAAGCAAAAACTAGAAAAACCCAAACCCAGAAATCCTTCCCCGCAACCCCACATCCCACCCCTACCCATCTCTTCCTTCCTGTCCATCCATCCCTTCCACCCGAGCACCCATTAGCGTGAGTCCCACCTCGACCTCTCTCTCTCTTTCTCTCCTCTGTAAAATGTGGAATTTGAGATGCGGGTGTGGTTTTTAAGATCTAGTGTTTGAGATCTTGGAGGGTGGAAAATGGACGCCGAATCATTACGCCATGGACAAAGCAACTTGCACGGTGTTTTACAAGACACGGCGTCACATTACGAGGCCCTACACTCCCAATTACCCTCCTTAACAAATTCTTAATGTTCTTGAATTTCAAGTTAATCAACCCCATGTTTTCCTTAATCACTCAATTACCCAACTTCAACGACCTCCTTTTCTTCGACCCTTCCAACCTTGACCTCTCCTACCTCGCCTCCCCCAACCTCCTGCCATGTTTCTTGAGTCCGATGACTCCTCGAGGGGCCAACCACCCAACCCTTTCTCCTCGACCCCCAAGCCCACTGCTTCCTCCGGCTCCACCGCCACTGCTACCCACCTTCGGAGCCTCTCCGTCAACTCTGACTTTTTCGACGGCCTGGGCAGGACTCTTTACTAGTTTGGGGGTTAGGTTATTAGGGTTTCAAAGTGGGGATTTTGTAAATGGGTTGGTTGGTGGGTAGGATTAGGTATGTAAGTGCTTCAATAGGGATGAACCGCTGGCTGAGCGGTGAATTTTGTAAATGGGAGTTGTAGAGAGGTGAGAGGAAGGGGATCTGGGTTCGGGTTTTTTTTTTTTTTTTAATTTTTTATAAATAGGGTTAATATTATAATATTTTTAATGTATAAAAAATAAAAAAATAATTGCCACGTGGCAGCCACATCAGCATAAATTTGGCAGCCACATCAGCTGGAAAATGTAACGGGTGTATTATATTGAAATAAAATATTACGTGAGGTATGAAAGTGAAATATTTTAAAGATTTTGTAAGGAATTGAAATCGACCTCAAACCTGAGGGGGTAAAATGTAATTTACCCAAGTTTAAATGTATGAATGGATGCCGGACTTTATAAATTGGGAGTGTGCTATCAACACACTCCTATTTATTTCTTACACACTCCTTGTTAATTTATGTCATTTGATCGTCATCAATTCATAAAAAGTGTGTTGATATCATACCCCTATAAATTATGGGTAATGTTGGGGAGACTAAATTTGCAAACTAAATGATGTGTCACCAATAGGAATAAGCACGTCTATCAACGTTTAAGTAATAAATCAATCATCAACTTCTATGTCTCTTAGTTTCCAAAACTTGTATTTACAAATTTAATCTCTCTAACATTATCCATAAAATATTGCAGAATAATACTTGTACTAAAAAAACACCTGGTTTACTATGAGATTTTTTTATTTGATGTCATTGCATATGCTTAAATTTGTATAAAATAATATGAGCTGTTATTAGTATTTAAAAAATTATTCGATGACATAAGAAAGAAAGAATGTACCATGAAAATAATGTTTTTGTACTGTCAATAGCGACTCCATTAACTTTGTTTTAATCCATGCTTATAGGAGAACAAAAAGATTTCGATATTAAAGTGAGTATTAGAGAGAACAAGGGGACAGTGAAAGAATTAGGTGGGAATTTGTTTGACATACGATTTAATAATATGCATTAAATTCATTTAAATTACAGAAAGAAATAGATTCTCTTCATATTCGAACATCCTAACATGAATTTGAATTGATTTTCTGAGACTCATGTCTTTTGCCTCAGTTTATGCTCAATTACTCTCTTTCAAAACTTCATTGTATGATTCATTAACTTAAGGTTGGTTTGGGATTGTGGTGCTTTAAAAAAAAAAAAAAAACACTAGCTTATTAAAAAAATCTGCAACATTAAATATATTTGGTAAAACAAATTTTTTTTTTTTAAAAAAAAAAAACTGCTGTCAATGAAACTAGGAAAGCATAAAAAAAAAATAGAAGCATAATCTACCATGCTTCTAAAAAAATGCTTTTTTTTTTTTTAGTAATGCTATTCTCACCACAATTTTATATCACATTTCTTTACCATTTTAGGTGGCAGATGAGTTGGACAAGCTACATCATTTAATTTCAATCTTTTTATTAATTAAAATACTTAAATAATCTTAGGTGGAAGAATGAGACTTCTCGTATACCACAATCATCATTTAATTAACAATCTTTTTATTAATTATTAATTAACATTTTGATTAAATGCTAATTAATTTAGATGATGTGGCTGTCCAACTCATTTGTCATCTTAGATGGTAAAGAAATGTGGTATAAATTTGTGGTAAGAATATCATTATTGTTTTTTTTTTTCAAAGCATGAACTTTTCAAATGACATGTACACCCCCACATGTTTTACAAAATTACAATCTTTGCCAATACATTATTGTCTTTGTCTTTGAAAATTATTATATCATATTAAATACTATATTATTTTTAGTTATTTAACATATTCAAAGCAATTTATTTAAAAGTTTATTAAACACTCAGACACTGTTTTTTTATTTATTTATTAAATGCACTATTACAAAAAATGTTTACCAAATACTTAATGTCACATCACGGCCCGGGGCGGATCACTTCCCGGGCCCGACTCCATTAGCGTAACACGATATTGTCCACTTTGGGCTTACCATTCCCTCACGGTTTTGTTTTTGGGAACTCACGAGCAACTCCCCAGTGGGTCACCCATCATGGGATTGCTCTAGCCCCCTTCTCGCTTCACTTCGGAGTTCCCACAGAACCCGAAGCCAGTGAGCTCCCAAAAGGCCTCGTGCTAGGTAGGGATGAGAATATACATATAAGGATCACTCCCTGGGCGATTTGGGATCTTACACTTAACAACTTTATTTTACAACTATTTTTTCTCATAATATAAATAGTTTTTTTTTTTAAAGCACAATAATACTAAAATAGCCCTTAATACCCTTGTAATCCTGGAAGAACTTTTAATTTGGCTTGAATATTTCTTATGAACCCAAAATTTGATATGAATGCATATAAATTGTAGGGGAAACTTGATATAGGTCCAATTTTTTGAGCCAATAGTAGGAATAGTCCAATTTATTAAAATAAGTCCAATTCCTTAAATCTTATTATTTTATTATCAATAATTATCTCTTAAATGATAAGATTTCTCATAAGAATCAAATTTCTTCCTAATTATCTCTTTGATTATTTATTTATTTTTGTTCTTTCTTGTTCTTTATCCTGTTTTAAATCCCATTTACAGATTTTATATTTTATTTTTATAATCAACCTATATCACAGGTTAATTATATTTATCTACCTATATTACAGATTCTTTTTTATAATCAAGTAAGATTCATGTGTCTTGCTTGTAGATATATTATGTTTTTTCTACCTTTTAGTTAAGTTTCATATCTTACTTATAGGTATGATATACATTTATATATTGGTTACTTGAGTTAGGGTAGAATGATTTGCAGATAGATTTATGTCAATATATTATTTTTTTTGTTATAAGATATTAATTATATTTTTTGGGGTTGAAAATTCATAATATTAGAAGATTTTAATTGATTTTTAATATTTTTAGAAAATATAAAATGAGCATTAAAAAAATAAATATATATAATTAGGTAATTGGACTCACTCCTAAAAACCATCTATGTTTTTGGACCTGGATCTAAAAGCCCCTAAATTGTAACATGGGGAAGGTTGAAAACAAAACTCAAAAATCTTTTAGGGCAGTTTGATACTCTAAGTGATGCCCAACAGGCCCTAATTTTTTTTAGGGTAAATTACAAAAAACTACCTCAACTATTGGGTTATTAACAATTTCATATCTCGTATTTAAAAAGTTTCAATGTCATACTGTATCTTTCAAATTTGTTTCAATGTCATACCTTCCGTCAGTTGTTTGTCAATTCCTCTATTAAATTCTGACATGGCGTGTGACGTGGCACACTTTCTATTAAAAACTAAAAAAAAAGAATAATCTTCTTCTTCTTCCTGAGTTGCAGGGGGTTGGTTTTTTTTTTTTCTTCTCCTCTTTACCTGGCTTGCGGGTTGGGCTCAGGTGGAAGGGGGAGGAAGATGGGAAAGATGGGTGCACGAAGGAGGTGGAGGATGGGTTGCGGGTTGGGCTCTGGTTTTTGTTTTGTTTTGTTTTTTTTTTTTTTTCCTCCTTCTGGGTTGCAGGGGGTTGGGTTTTTTTTATTTTTATTTTTTATTTTAAATATATATATTTTAAATATTTAATTAATATTTTTAATTATTTTTAATAATTTTTTAATAAAAAAATAGACCCCATCTTATACCACGTCAACATTTAATAAAGAAATTGACAATCAACTGACGGAAGGTATGACATTGCAACAAATTCGAAAGATACAGTATGACATTGAAACTTTTTAAAACGAGGTATGAAACTGTTAGTGACCCAATAATTGAGGTAGTTTTTTGTAATTTACCATTTTTTTTAATAATTCACCAGATTCACCAATAAGATTTTCTGAGAATTTCAAGGCCATCCATAAAACTAGCCAGTTCTTCAAATATAGGTAATTAATTAGTTTATGGAGAAATCAAGAAAGGTTGAGGAAAATAAACTATAAAATTATATTATTCATGTTACACGGACAAGTACTAGAACAATATTACTGTTCGAAACGAAGCAAAAATTACCAAGCTTTTTTATAGCTAAGAGAGACCAGCCTCTATCGAAAACGTATTGCACAAAATTGATCCAAAAACATGATCGAGGGGATGGCTCTCGTGTAGATCAAAATTTGCGGACTTTATTGGGGCGACCACTGGATTTATCATTGTCTCTTGAGCGGCCTTTCCACCCACCTCGATGGTGCTTGCCTCCCCTGGTAAGCACAAACACAAATCGAAAAATAAGAAATGGGAACTCATGATCCGGGGAGAAAACTAGGGCGCTGATAGAGCGTGTGTAGAATTTAAAACTAACCTTCCTCCGCGGTGGTTCTTACTATCGCGGAATTTTTCTTGGTTGCCACGAAAAAGGCTCCAGTACTCCTTTTCCGCCTCACCTGAAAGATTGGCAAGCAGAACAACATTCAATACAAGAGGAGGAAACTAGTATTCATGACGCATCAAGCTCCAGGATATAACCACTACAAATGAAGTAAAGGTGAAAGTTGCTGCTTACCACTGACTGGTTCCAAAGTAGCGATGAAATTCTTCACAGCCAGACCTCCTTGCTCGGTAAAGACTGCAGCTGCACGTGCTTTCTGAGCTGCTTCAGGTTCTTCAAACCGAATGTATCCTGATTCTTCTCCGATCTTGAAATCAATGTACTTCACATGACAGAAACGGGTATGAAAATGTCAGAACAAATCATCAGAATACACTCAACCATGATGAACGCAAAGAATCTACCTACAAATTATTAAAGAGTACCGTAATTAATAACGCACTGCATAGAGAAATCCAAGCCATAAAGTAATGAGAATAATTGTGATACCTTTACGGTGCCAAACTTTTCAAAGACAGCCTTCAAATCCTCACGCAAAACGACATCCATGTTATCTTTGTATGCGGCAGCATTCAATCTTTCTTCCTTCTCTCCACCCTTTGGAATGGAACCTTCTGAAGACTTTTCCCCATCTCCAGTTTCCTTCATGTCATCCAAACTATTTTTCTCAGCAGAATTTTCCTTATCTTTAGCATCCTCTCCAGAAACTTCTACATCTTCATTAGCTGCTTTAACATCTTCTGACACCTTATTTTCTGTTTCTTCACTAGTACCATTTGTACTACCATTAGCATTGTCAGGCGCACCACTAACCACTGCAGGACCTTTGCCGGACAAGCTCTTTAACGTGAATGCAACAATCAAGCCTTTAGGGTAGCTGTAACATCATAAGAGAAGTTAATCAGGTTAAACACCCAAAGAAGAAAAATATGGAAATCAAATAAGTGTATCCACTTACTCAGCTTCAGCTTTCGGGTTATTCTTGCCCTTTGTACTTGTAACAGGTCGAGCCTCATATTCCTTTACCTCTCTTTCTCTATCGGCATCAAAATCCCTCCTGAATCACACATACTCTATTAGAACATGCAGATATACAAACAGGGACTCGTAAGAACAAAAATTACAGAATCATAACAAATACAAAAAAATATATTTGTTAAGCTGCATTTCGTATGAAACGAAAACAAGATGACAGAGGAGAAAATTACATTATAAAAGAACCAGATTTGTTTTATTTCAATTACCTGCCAATGCCTTTCTGTATTGTCATAACCTAATTAAACAAAATTGGAAAAAAAAAAAAAAAAAAACAGATTTTCTGTATGACAAAGGTATGCAAGAAGTGAAACTTACTTCGGCTTCAGTTCTAACTTAACACCTGCACATTCCAAAGGTTGCTCCAAAATCTTATTGGCTTCTTCCTCAGTTGAAAACTCAACCAAAGCAGTGCCACAGAGTAGCTTTTTGTCGGCAACATGGCGAGGCAGCCTCACGCTGTTAACCTGAAACAATTGAGAACAAATTCTTACAAATGCAACATTAATAGAAAGCACAAATCTTTTTACAAAATACTGAAATACGAAAAGATAGCAAGCAAGAGTAATTCAATGCCACTTAATGATGGTGCAGCAACCAATACCTTGGCAAATTGCCTAAAAAAAGTTTCGACATCTTCAAGCTTCACATCAAACGCAAACGGTGAAGCAGCTACCGTTCTTATGTCAACCTGCTCTATCACCTCCTCCGGCTTCAGCATTTCATTAGCCCTACCAACCTTTGTCCCTAAAACACATAAACACAATTTATTCGTCTTCGCCCAGAAACCAATTTTGTTAATATAAAGCAGCATTGCATTTGTAGTTGCATTCTAGTGATTACGAACAGGGAGCTCACCGTCTTCCGAAAGTTTTAGAGTGGCAGATAGTCGAAGCGTTTCGGCAACGGCCTTTATGGTAGCTTCGGGGACACTGTCCGGCTTCACGTCCCCCAAACTGAGATGATTTCTCATCCGACTAAACGAGCATATCAGAGCCAAGCTAACCACTAACGGTCAAATTCAAGGTCAACTCAAAACCCAGAAATCCAAACCCTAAAAAAAATTACACTACAAATTAAATTAATTAGACTTGAAAAACCCAGAAATTTGATAAAGTAAGGATACGTCCGTCTTCGCCTTCACTAATCGTTTTACTGAGAAAATCGTCCCTCGGAAGATTGCTGTCGCTGAAGTAAAACTCGACCTGAAAATTACAAAATCGAGTTTTTCTGGGAAAAATTAAAAAAAAAAAAAAATCTGAAATTTGATAAACTCGAACAAAATCGATCAAAATTTGGGAGCGTTTGAACACCGAACCTGGCGGATCACTTTCTTCGAGGTTTCTTCGTCCAAAGAAGGCGTCGCCATTGTTAGGAGGAGAGAGAAAGAGAGAGAGTGACTGTGTGAAACTGTTGTTTCGCTTCCGAACAGCGAGAGGGAACAGAGGAGAGAGAGAGGGCTTCTAGGGTTTTGGAGGGGGATATTTTCAGCGTCCTTTGGGCTTCTTCAGTTTGTTTTTCGGCTTAAGTAGTTTTTAAGTGGGCTTTACTTAATGGCTTGTTTGTCGTCCAGTTCTCTGCTCCGAGATGCTCCAGTTTTCTGCCACGTAAGCATATAGGAGAGTTGGGACCCACCAGGGTCAAAGGCTGGAGAGAGAGGCGGGCATCAAATCCCCTGCTGTACTGCAGTTTAGCTTTGGATTCTGTTCGGATCAAATGCTTGAAGATCACACGTACTCACGTGAGGTGACACACACCGTGCTAAATGTTCAGCATTTCCTCGCATTAATCTCTCCCACGTTAAAATCTTCCTTTTTTTTTTGGCGTATTACGTTAAAATCTTCCTTTTTTTCTGGCCTTTTACCTTAAAATAATCTCGAAATTAATATAATCTTTCGCTTTGGTCTATGACAGTGAAGAGTTTAAATGATGCATGTATTTGAATGCTGCACCGCCAGATAGTTGTGACAAAATTCATCTCTCTATAAATACGTTTGAGTTCACGCAGCAAGAACAGAGCAACCTTCCTTTTGCCAGAGTCCACATTTGTATATGGTTCAACATTTTAAGCACTTGTCTTTTTCTTATTCACCTAATCAGACCAAAACCGAGTCGAAAACGAATTCATCTTCCAACACAAGAATCTCTACCCCTAAAATTGAATCTGTTGTTTGTCAATGGTGTTAAAAGTCTCGGTTTAGCTCCACAGTTAGTCCCCCTAAAGCTTATGCCTTGCGTTTATTTAACCAAAACATTTCTACAAACGAAATCAAGAGTTTATCATCACCATCGTAAATTCCAAATCAATCCAAAGGGATCTAACAATTTGAATATAAATGCTCCTCAAACATTGAATCAATCGGTACTAAATTCGCGATAGAGCGGTACGGACCAAATGTTTACAGATAATCCCAGAAACAGGGAAACAATTAAGAACATCCGAATAAGATTCGCATAAATCCAGCTACACACAAACACGACATACATTTGCACTAAATAACTTGCATGTAAAGATACAAACACAAGCATACAAATATTAGGGTTCCCTGTCATTCATTTTACTCTCTTAAGCTAGCAATATTATTTTGTTAACTCCCTTCCCCTCTCTTTTTTTCCTCTCTGTGTGTGCGGTGTGCGCGTGTGCACGCGCGTGTGCGTGGTGCGTGTGTGTGCTTGGTAGTAAATCATTCACAAACTGCAAATATAATTAACTAAATAAGGGTTTTAAAATGATGTAAATCCATTTGCAAGTAAATCATTCATCATCTTGAATGAAGTTTAATTTTTGTGTATCGCCATTATGTTACGCATATAACATGCAGTGACAAGAAAGAGATACTCCCCGAACCAGCCCTCACCCATAAACCCGTTTTGTTTTCTCCCTCCGTTTTTTGCTTTTTCTCTTTTTCTAATCGACATCAACAAAATAAAAGGTTTAGGACATTATATTTCATGAGTGGAAGTAACTTTTAAGACTAACTCACAAACTGAATGATAAACTCGATTCTTCATGGGCAGCAGCACACAGCAGCCATCTCGCCTAACCCAAAGACAACGATATCCTTACATGAAGTCCTCTTCCAGTTCCTGCAATGACTTGTTTGTTGATGCAATTTGTTTGTTAGATGTCATATTTTCAGAATTCATCAAACCTTTGTAGCTCCTTAGTTCCAACTGTCTCTCCTTCTCAAGCCTTTCCATCTCCTCTCGTCGTTTCTGCAAAATAGTTTCATCAAAAATTAAATTGTTTTGCTCAACACAAGAATACAATATATTACATTACAACAATGGGAAATACAGCCTAGAGGCAAGATGAGTTGATCAAAAGCAAGTCGTAGTACTCTTACTAAGTTCAAGATTCAGACTGTTAACCATTACTAAATCCAAAACCCGTTGAGCTAAGTGCAAGTCAAAAGTTCTAAGGTAAAGCTTCACGGCAAGAGAAAAATTACATGAAGAAATTTGAACTTACTGAGATGAAGAATCCACTCAGATAATGTGACACACTAAGAGCCTCATATTGACCAAGACAGGAGGCGGAACTTACCTTGTTCCTCAGGAACTGCTTTCTCTCAGCTCTTTCTGCTGCATTAACTGCTTCTCGCTCAGCTGCACTTACATTTTATTTGCACGTTAGCTATCTCTCGATTGCGCCATAAATAGATAAGGGTAACATTTGAAGTCCAATATCACTTACTATATCCATAAATACAAAACATACATAAGAAATAGTAGATCAAGTGTCAACTTTCCTCCATAAAGAGCAACATGAGTACTGCTTTTCAAGATTGGACTTTTAGAGCCACATTTGTAGACAAGTAAAATGAAGCTGAGACTATAACTTTACCTTTCAAATCAGGCTTTCTTTCCACTTTTGTCCTGTTCAATCTATTAACTACCTCATTGATCCGCTTCTCCACTCTCACTGTTCGAACCTTAACAAAGTGTCAGAGTTGGACAATGATCAGTATCTCCGTGTATGCCGAACCCAATGAAAATACAAACTACATGGCATGGCTTGATTCCGCAAAATAATGTACATATTGTAGAACCTCACCATCTTTGAATTGTAGAAACCAACTTGACCAACATCCATGGAGGCAGTTTTCTTCAAATTGGACCAGGGAGTGTAAACAACATCAACATTGTTCACCTTATTGCCTGCAACATAATACATCATTAGTACACGGCACCACTGCAGTATCCTAACTAGAACCAGAAGAAACGAAACCTTTTATAGAGACGTAGATGAAATTAAAAAGTGGAACCAAATTTCTCTAAAACATAAGAATCTGTTTAGATAATGCCTTGGATGGAATTTGCTTTGACAAGTTGAGCACAATCCTCCAGTAAGCCTTCGCTTATATCGTCAATGGTCTGTCCTTTGTGCAGTCTAACATAAACATGGGCAGATGACATTTTATCCACGTGGAACCTGTAACGCCAATATCCCATCAGAAAAATCTTTAAGCATACACAGTACAAATTTCCTACTAATAACAAGTCTTTTCTTTCAGTTGTTGTTGAGTTACTAATAACAATCCAGACAATCAAACACAGAATAATGTGCAAACGTGGTCCAAACCAAACAAGCAATTACTCGAAAACCGGCTAAACATGCATTTCTTAAACATTAGATGTCTATAATTACAAGGTAAATTCATCCTTATATATAAATGCCTCAACCACATAATAAACAGCCGAATTTGAAGTGATTATGCAGTTAAAGAAACACGGAATCACAATGCTGATACAAAGTGAAAGAGGACCAATTCGGTCGTTAAGCTGCTTAGTATCAATTGGAAAGGGGTCAACGATTACGTGAACTGCACAAACAATCTCAATCATCCCTCCCCCTCCTGGTGGAAGAACAGATACACTATTTATACAAGAACGAACGGTTATCTTGATTCTGTCACTGATTTCATTAAGCAAGCTCCTAATATTCAAACCACATAATCTGCTTCTTCAATTGTGAGAAAATTGCAATACCCCCTAATCTAATCCCCAAATTCGAGTTAATTCTCGATTCTTGACCAGAAAATTCCAAAACTTGACAAGAAATGTAATTGCAAATTTTCTATCTTTCTAATGAAAAATTCGGATAAATTGCGAATTGGATTGATAATTCAAACAATTGGAGAGAGAGAATTGGGGGAGAGCTACCAAATGTCTTCGGGGAAGCCATATTTGATGAGCTCCTCGTTCTCGAACTTGTCGAGGCCCATGAAAATGGTGAAATCGCCGACGTCCGATCGGGCTTTGAAGTAGAACACCATGTTTCGCCCTTTGGAATTTGATCTCCGCAGAAGAAAGCGACAAACTTTGAGGAGGAGCTAGGCTTCCGAGTTCCACCTTCCACCTTTCCAATTGGAAATTTTGGCCACTGGAACAACTTTTTATTTTTTTGGTTTTAATTTTTGTTTTTCATGTTTGGGCCTCGGTTTGAAAATTTGGCAAAAAGTGGCAATTTCCACGAACATTTGACGACGTGTCGCTTGGACTAATGGAAAATAGAGATTTTCAGTGTGTCCAGAATATCGAACGGTACGCTTTATATTAATATATATAAGTGGAAAATTTTTCTTTAAAATGTTTCTCTACTTGTATTATTTGTCCTCTGATCTTCTTCAATTCACTCGATTCAACGGCCGAAAATTAGAAAGGTGTGTGAGAAGTAAAAAAGAGTGTGGATATCACACCCCTTATAATATATGACATATGTGCTCATATTCTAGACACACTGAAAAGTCTCCCTCTAGCAATATTGGGCAATCTCAGATTGAATCTTGAGTGTAAAGATAACTATGTTTTTAATTATTTATATATATATGCAATGATATTTTACGTTAAAAATATGCTAATTGATTGAACCACATTATGTATCAGCATAAAATATTGGCATCGAAGTCGTCATGCACGGAAATAAGATGGAATTTAGGTTACAAGCTCCTTGAGCTACAAGGTGACCTGTAATTAACATAACTTTCAAGGTTCAGTTCAAGAATCCCTCGCAGGTCATACATCTCCAACTTGCAGTTTCGTAATTTTTTTTTTTTTTTTTTTGAAAGACTGGAAAATGCATAACCAGGGCAACAGCCAAACAAACAAGGAAGGTCCACAGGAGGGGCAAGCAAAGCGAAACAGAAGAAGGGCAGTATGAGGGACCACAAACAAGAGACACTGCCACTAAGGACAAGCATCATCCCACCACACCACCTCAACACAAAACAATTACGGAGGGCAAGGAAGGCCATCCCTGTTTGGTAGCTCAAAAGTCTGCCAAATCAAGGTTAGGCATACCTTGCAAGTTTGGCAGTTTTGTTGCTTTGAAAGAAAGTTGCAAAATTAAAGTGGCTTGACTTTGCAATGTCTAATTGTGAAAATTCTAGACTACGTCTAACCATTAGATGATGATAATACTAAGTACTAATAAACTAATTTGGAAATACTTTTAAAATAACTAAAACCACTTTTGGTGAAAATATTTTTTAAATCATTCCTTAATAAAAGACGCAAGTGAATCCTGAAGCATTCGAATCTAAAAACATGTTCTCTAAAAGTGATTCCAATCATTTTAAAAGCATTTCTAAACGAACCCATAAGTGTTGTAGCCAAATCCCAAAGGAGTATGACATACATAGTTGAATTTAATGACTATATATGTGAGAAGGACTAGTGAAAATCAAGCACCCTTGTGGCCAACCAATCCTCTTCCCCTCATTTTTTAAAACCCCACCTTAACTATTGGGAAAAAAAAAAAAAAAAAAAAAAGACAAACCGGTTAGATATGTGATAAAGAACTCAAAAAAAAAAAGATGATAGATCTAAGTCGCTTAAAACGTAGTGTCGTATAATAATATGCGTCGATGTACAGCAGAAGAGCTTCGATAGCTAATTACAAATTCATAACATTGAAACATTCAATTTATGCAACTAAAATGATTATATGACGTTTCTCTTGAGTTAGGATATATGATTAATTAATCAATCATATACCCTTGGAGTGTAATATTAGTTCTTATCACTCTGATTGGCTGCTGACAAGGATTGAGTGTTATGATCAACTACGTACGCGCAAAAGATTCCACCAGAAGCAAGAATCTCGTAGCTCAAGTAATTAAGAGCAAAGAGTTGTGTATGTGTTCGAGGTTTTGTGTTTGATGGTTCGATTCCTCCCTCTGCAATACCGGTTGTATAAAAACAAAAAGATTCTCACCCAAAGCAAGAATCTTGTAACTCAAGTGAACTAAGAGCAGGCAGTTGTGTATGTATTCGAGGTTGGTTTGATTCCTCACTCCGCAATACTGGTTGTATAGAAATAAAAAGATTCTCACCATAAGCAAGAACCTTGTAGCTCAAGTAAACTAAGAGCAGGCAATTGTCTATGTATTCGAAGTTCTGTGTTTGATGGTTCGACTTCTCCCCCCCCCCAATGTCGGTTGTATAAAAATAAAAATAAAAACTATCTAACAAAGCTAGCTTTCACATTACTGATCCACAATTTTGGGGGCAAAACACAAATTTGACCTAGTAAGTACAAAAACTTTGACAAAAAAAGAAACTGGTAGTAGCAGAACACAGTACAGAGTTCATCAATGAGAACCCTAGCAATTTTTTCCCCTTTAAAAGGACACATTTTATACATCATACTTGCAAAGGTTTTCGAAACCCATGTATTCGTTCTGGTTAATCTTCCCGATCATGTTCGATATCCCAACTCCACCTGAAAAAACAAAAACAAAAGAGAACAAATACCTCTCAGAATTCAGGGTGTTAACTCAACTTGAAGTGAAGTTTGTCGACGAAAAAAAAACTCACCTAGTGAGATTGCACTGACAAATATGGTAAAGGCTAGAATGAATATGATCAGAGATGCCCTTCCAAATAGTATAATCAGCCTTCTCACAATGTGCTGTCCTACCAACGCCGCAACAGTGGCAACCGCGGTCAAGTAGACAGCTGCAGAAAGATTGGAATGTATGTGCGTTAATATACAAATGTAGACGAACTGTGAACTATTATCTCCATCTGTCTACAACTGGATAAAGAATGACAATTTTGTAGCGAACTATCCTTGGCATTGCTTTGATAAAACTTACCGTAAGGAACTGGAAAACGTTTTAGAAGGTAGTATTCTACAACGGACATGGATGATGAGAATGTCATTGCAAATGTGGCTGTGGCACTGGAGACCTGCAATGTAATCACCAAGAAGTTTTAGAACAAACTAAACCGTTGATGATGGCTCTTTATTTTGTTTAATAACGCTTGGTTAAAAAGATTCTGCGTCATTATTCAAGAATCAAGATCATGTTCCTGGCAAGGAAAATCACAAAACTCACCTGCGGGGGGATTCCGAGCTCCAAAAACAGCGGACCCATGATAAATCCTCCACCTAATCCAAGCAACCCACCTACGATTCCTGCAATTACACCAAAGAGACAGTAGATAACCAGCTGGTGCACTTTCCAATCTGTCCCTTCCTCTCCCTTAGATGCTATTACTCTCCGTCCCTGGTAAAGGCTCACTGCCTCGTACATAGATACACCAAGGGAAACTGGGATCTGCAGAACATGGAAACAGTGACTCGTTCCTGACCATTCAGGTATTAAATTTTTACAGGTAACATGCAGAGAAACAAATACATTCACACCATAGTACCTGTAACAAATTCACTACCCAATATGCTGGAGAACAAGTAGTTGTGCGTTGCTGTGGAAAAGTCAGATGGTTATCACCCGTTAACTCCACAATGTCGTATAATAAAAGGAATTTGCAATAAAAAATTTCTGATAGACTAGGTAAAGAGATGGAAACCTTGGCAATTTGCAGTGCAAGAAATGCAACCCAGACAAAAACCAGAAGTCCAAGCTCCTTCCAGCAAACATTCTCAATGACCGAGACCTGAAATGGTCATCAAGATTTAGCTTCGAAACTCCATCAAAATTATAAGTGTCTGCGCAAGTACTGTGCATGCACTCACCTCCTGCTCCTTGGTTTCCTTTTGCTGCTCATTCGCTGGGCCACTTGGGAGAGGCTTGTATGCCACATTCTCACCAGCAGCTGACCAAACAAGAAAATATATGGCGTAATTGTAGGACTCAACTACAAGTAAAAAATTCTAATGTTTTATACAACATTTAGCAACAGTAGAACAAACTCACCAGCTGACTCCAAATGCCTAGCGGCCTCCTAAAATCCAGAAAAAAAAAAGCAACGGTTAGCAAAACATTTAGTAGTGCAATGTATGCATTTCAGAAAACCTTAAAACCCTGAATTTAAATTGAAGCCTTGTATATTGGCATATATAAATATGGAGGTAGATATACAATGCGTACTAAGGTGACATGCTATATCGTGATCTTTGAATTACGTAATGACAGTCAGAAATTTAGCATTACCTTCTTCATAATGGTTTCCTTTTTCCATGTTTCAACACCCTTGAAGAACGCCTTTGTTGATGTACCTGAAAACGACAATAGTAACCACTCGAAGTATTCAAGCGCAAGGCCAAGAAAGTGGAACCTAAGTAATGATTGGTCCATTACCTATAAAGAGAACAATCAGCAAAACTGTGACCATCCAATCAGCAAAGATCACGTTGAAAGCCACTCCGATACTAATGCCCAGCATGAGCATCGGTTGGATGAGTACAGCCAAATCATAGTCAATAATGGGCATATTTATTGTCGGATGCCTTAGCTTAAGATTATAGTACACAGTTGAGCCAGCTGCACCCATGATCATACCTGAAACGAAGCAAAATGAATCCACGATGATGTAACTTCCAATCAGTAATTCAATATAACAGTAAAATCACTACGTAAAAATCAATGTAGTTTGAGAAAACAATTTTATAGGTCTCAACCATGAAAAGGACTTAAAAGCCTATCCACTAAAACTACCATGACAAATTAACACAGCGTAAGAACTTCAGGTATCACACCGAGGAACTAAAATCAGGTGACAGTGATCTGTGATAAAGAGCTTTCTGTATGAAAAAAAAAAAAGTCAAGTAGTTTGAGAAAAACCTTGATTCAGTTCAAACAGCCATCACATTTGAACAATGATACCGCTAGCGCTGCTTCTGAAGCAGTTCAACATACACCGTATTATATAACTACCATTTCAACAATACATACTTTCTTTCCTATCAAAAACACCAGAAGATCTTTTCTTACATTTTGATATAGCTGTTGCTGACTTTGGATCAAACCCGATGATTAGGCTAAGCATAGGAACGAAAATGCCACCACCACCAACACCGCCTACACTCCCGAAAGCAGCTCCACAGAATCCAACAATAGAACCCACAATAATTTGCCACCCAAATTTCATTTCCTATAAACCAAAATTCACAAAATCCATTATTTACAACCCCCTTATAGTTAGTTTTCTACATGCATATAAAAACAGAGGAATTAGCAATAAGTATCCAATTTAACACCGCTTTGCCTTAAAATCCCAACTAACACATATTTATGATTTATCCACATGATGTGTACTTCTCTGCATTCAGGCTTACACCAATCTACTACAACTATTTACAAGGAACAGAGGGTCAGGGATAATCTTAGATTCTTAGGGCCCATTTGGACTGACATTTTCTATAAAGTACTTCTGGCCATAAGCATTTTTGTTAGAAGTTCTAAACGCAGTTAAAAATTTATTAAAAGCCAGTGCTTCTTGAAAACTGCTTGGAAGTGTTTCTTAATAAGTGCTTCATGACCAAAATGTTTTAAGTTTTACTACTCAAACTTATTCAAAACTGCTTTTTGGTTGTCTTTTATTATCAGAAAGCTGGTTTTATTGTCAGAAATCATTTTCAGCTGGAAAGTAAAGTATAATTCAAGAATAAACAGAAAATTCAACCAAAAGATAAAGTTAAACAGGTTTTGTGGGGTTTACCGGCCAAACATGATGATATCCCGTTTTTTCCGATTGCCATAAGAAATTCACAGCTTTGAGAAGGTAATTAGATTCGGATCCCTCTGTTCCGTTGAACCTCGAACCTTCAAGCCTCAGGCCTCTCTCCGCCGAAACAAACGCAAAAGCCGCCGCAAAGTGAAACATCACCATTGCCACGGATCTCAAACCCTGCCATTTCGCTCCAAACGCCGTCATATCAATAAAGCCACCACCTTTTCTTCTGTTTGGTTGCCGAGAAAGCTAAAGGAACAAGTTGGTTTTTCGTATGATAGATTCAGAGAGGTGGGTTAGGAAAATGGGAGAGAATTGAAGAGCTTTATAGTTCAAAGGGTCAAGGCCAATGGATTATATCTGCAAGAAATGGAAAGAGAAAGAGAAAATAGGAAGGACAAGAAAAGCGCTCTCTCTCCCTCTCTCTCTCTCTTCCCCTTCTCCCGACTGTCTATCTATGTCTCAAGCTTTCTCTCTCTAGATTTTGTCTGGTTTTGGATTGCAGTGAAGTGGGTGGTGAAGAATGAAGGCTTAATATAGGAGAGATGACGAAATGGGGTTTGGTGGGTGAACGACAGATATGTGTGAAAGGTGTTTGCTTCTTGTTTGGATTCAGTAATGGAGTCGGAGACGACAGAGTTCCATTCCATACAAGAAAAACAAAAATTAAATAAGGAAAATGTGATGAGGAAGAAGATAAAAACGCGAGGGAGAGATGTAATTTGCTTGGATGGACTATCTTCCTGTTTTATGCATATGCATCTCTAATCTCTACACGTGGGATAATTATTTGGCATGTTGTTAAAGAACTAGAAATTTTTTTATTAATTAACCTGCTATTTTATATTGGTAACATATTATATAATTTATAAAGTTAGTATAAAAATTTGATCGAGGAGACAATATTTTTTTTATCAAAAAATAAAGGGAAGGGTTTTATCACAAATAGTCATTGAAATTAGCCCACACGAACAAGAGGTATTTAAAATTGAAAATCAATCAATATAATCCCTGAAAATAGGTGTTACAAACCAATGTTATCCCTCTGTCCCAAATCTATAAAAAATTATGTTATACGCTTATGGGCACATAAATAGATCCCACAAGATTTAAGGGTTTTTATCGCAAATGATCTTTGATGTTAACCCACACTATCAAGATGGTCTCTAAAATTGAAAATCGATCAATATAGTCTTGAAAATAGGTGTTGCATATTAATGTGATCCTTCCATCAAAATTCTGTAAAAAATTATGTTATGTGCTGGTGTGAGTTTAATAATTAATTAAAAAGTTGTCAAAATACATTTTTGCAATTATCTCAAAGCAAAGCTCATCATTCTCCGCATAGCCAAGATCATTGGGGGAGCACCCAACAAGCTCTCTAAATGTTGATAGTGATGTCACAAAAGTCGTCCCGAATCCAAGCCGTCACAAAGGTGGTCTCGATCTTGGTCCAATTTGGTGAAGGGTGTAAAGATGGGTGCCTTAAGATTTTATTTTATTTTTTTATTTTTAAGAGACTGCAAAGGCTATCATAATGGAGGTAGAGTAGTGTGGGTTAGGATTAGAGGTGATTGTGAGACTGAGTCTCTAGGTTGACAAGTTTCTTAATTAATTATTAATTTTTTAAAAGAAAACGTTATATTGATTAAAATCAAGTTATGAAGAGCTACATATGTCTGGAAGGAGGAGATCCTGAACGAGGATAGCAGGCTTCTCAATCCAAATTAAATTATTGATGCTAGTTAAAGCACACTTTGCAAGACAATGGGCAATCCCATTACATAAACGAGAAATATGAATAAAATTCAACATATGGAAGGAGGATGCCATCTACAACACATCATCCGCAATCAAACCTATTGTCGACGAGTCCGAATAGGTCTTATTAAGTGTTGCAATGGCCTTCATGGAATCACTCTCCACCACGACCTGATGCAACCCTTGCTGCTGGGCCAATTGCAGTCCGTGTCTCACAGCAAACAACTCCGGGAGCGGCATAGAAGTGACGCTTGGATATTGCCACACCCCTGTCGCCAAAAAACACCCCTCCAGTCCCGTATCGTACCGCTCCTCCAACCCCACCCAGCTTGGTATTGACATTTAACGCCCCATTCGTGTTGATTTTGACCCAGCCTTGGTTAGGAGGAAACCACCGTGGGGTGGGTAATCCCCCCCTCCTTGTTGGTTTGCAATTTGCTGCCTGGAATGCTGATAACCATGAGGAAACCTAGGTCCCATTTATGTGCTACATTAATACATAACAATTTTTTTTTTTACAAAATTGCAAGGGAAATACCACATTGATTTGAGACATCTATTTCTGGGACTACATTGATCGATTTTCAATTTCAAGAACCATGTTGATTATATGGCTATTTCAGGGACATTTATGAAAGAAGTGTGACCTATTTATATGCTACATCAGCACATGATAGACATTTTTGACAAAATTATGGTAGAAGGACAACACTTATTTGTAATACTTATTTTCAAAGATTATATTATCAATTCCCAATTTTAATAACCATTTTAATAATATGGGTCAATTTCAAAATTATTTGCAATAAAAATCTTAAAAAGAATAGTGATATAGAAAACGGACTCCACTTTCATTTATGAATACCAAGCCACGCTATATAATAATCCGCTTGATACTACACCTGTACTCAACGTAAATAATTAAATAAAGTATTACAAAGACTGCATAAAACTTTGTAGGCACGTGACATTATTCCACTTCATTCTTACGACACAGGACCCATTAGGCCACAACTTTCCAAAATTTAGAACGCTTTGTTGGCATGACTGTACGAATTGATTTGAAGTAGTAGCCTGCTGTCAGAAATGCTATAATAAAAAAGGGCGAAAGATCTTTGTCAGATTACTTTCTTAGAGATTATAGAGATTTGTATTCGTCACCGGTCATTATACATTACGTCAGTTTTTGTTAAATATTATAAATATTTAATTTTAAAATTTAAAATTTAAAATAATTTTTTAAACGTACAATATACAATGAACGATCACGAGATTCTTAAAATTCCTAAAAAAATGATTCGGTGATGATCATTTTTCTAAAATAGGTGTTAGCTAGCTTATTTGCCTACTTCATAGAGCAAGGACGTAATGCTAGCTTTATCAGTGGATGAGGAGATCCTTTGTTATATTTTATGTCAAATTATTACATCACTCACATTCATAAGAAAAAATTGTGTGAGACTTAATTTGTCGTTGGACTTTGGCATCATAATTCATTCAAAATTCATCACGTGATAAGTTTTAAATATAATTTTTTTATCATTCTTGTATACTTAAAAATTTCATAGTTATTTTTCGTACAAATTAATATTCACCACGAGATCAATCTAATATATCCATATAGGGTTCATCAACACATGTGTGTTTTATTTCTACTAGAAAGATAATACAATTATGTTATAAAAGTAACATTTTGAATACTTTATATATAATCTACTTTATTCATTAAATTAATATACATATATATATATATATTTTTTTTTCTTTAATTTTTTTTTTTTTTTTCATTTGCTGATGTTAATATGCCATGTCCTTTTAAGGATTGCATCCTAATTGTTTGGAGTAATAGTTTATTGACAAAATCAACTTTAAGGTTGTGAATGACTAGAATATCTTCAAAGAAAATGTCAAACAATATATTTTTATTTCATAAAAAATGTTTTGGAAAAGATAGTTATAATTTTTTTTTTTTTCAATCGAAATGTCAATTCTAATGTGGCATGACGTGAAAAAGCATACGTTGCAGCTACTCTCAAAAGTGATAGCACGAGTTCAAGGCTTCAATTCATTATTTTCTTGCCTATTAATGGCTCGTTTGCGTAACCCATAATCAAAATATGAGGAATTGAATTGAGGGAAAATTGAATCATGAGGGAGTTGGAATGAAGAGGAGTTTTAGATTCCTATTCAAACTTTTGCTTGAATGTTATGGAATAAGAGTAAGAACAAAATTGAGTTCATATAAATTATTTACGAACTCACCTGAATCAGAATAGAAATGAACATGATTACTAAAATACCCTTCTTCTAAATAACATATATATATATATACTAATCAATTGGATAATCTTTTATTCAAATTAATTGTATCATTAGTGATATTTGTGGAACACAATAAAACCTTACTAGTAATTGCCCTATAATCATTAATTATTTCTTATTTGTTTAATTCTTATGTTTATTTAAAAAAAAAAAAAACATGAAATTCAAGAAGTACTGCATAGCAAAAAGAAATTATAGTAAATATCTAAGAGCATAATGGGTAAGAAAAATTGATCATGATTCCTCCATACTCCCGGAATACCACCACCAATTAAGGAGTCCTATTCCTTCAAAATGAGGAATTGGATTCCTGATTTTGTGTGGGCACACCTATTTTTTTTAGTTCCCCAAGTATAGTAAACGAAAGTATTATCCCGTAATCGGAATCCAATTTCATATTTTGATTCCGATTACTGGCTCGTAAATACGCCATAAATGTTGTGGAATATTATTTGAGTGGTTGTCCATATTATAATATTGATTATTTTAACAACTAGACCTGACATTTTCATTTAACATATCAATTGAAGAAAAAATTTATACAAAATGTCAAATTATCACATAAGTCATCAAATACTAATTTGGCATTTTATATTTTCTATTCTCGTACGCATTCTTCCCTCCAATCTGCATGAACCGGGTTTCACATCCATGTAGGCAAAAATTGGGCAGTATTATATCTAAAACTTAAGGTTAAGTTGGCAATTCATGGGGTAAGAATTCGTAACTTTATGAAGGTTTTTCAACAGTTTTTTTTTTAAATAAAAAAAAAAAATAGGTGACAAACTCTCACTTGCAACCGTGATTAAATTTTTTTTTTTTTTTTGGACAAACGATATAATCTACACTATAATGTGGTTTAAATTCGTCTTTAATGAGAATCAAACCTAAGATCTCTCACTTACAAGTGAAGAGGATTATCACTAGCCATAGTACTAAGTGAAAAAAATATTTGAAATTAAACTCAAACTTTATCCATCTTCAATGTATTCTCAACTAAGTGGCAGTATTATATCAAAAGAGGTGACAAACTCTCACTTGCAACCGTGACTAAATTATAATAAAAGAAATATGCTATTTTCAGGTAGCATTCAATTGCATAATTAGATTGTCTACATTAAACCCTCCAAACTAAGCATCAATATTTATTCCTTGAGAAACGCTAGCATGAGCCAAAAACCGAAAGTTAATGTATATCTTCGAATTCCATGGCACTGATCAACAATTCTCAGTCGTTCACATATACATAAATAACTATATTTAGCAAAGCCTATTTAACTCCCTACATGCATTAGGGTTTCCTTCCATATCCGCAAGAACTCCTTTGATCTTGAATTTTATAATTTGACGCAGGTGGGAACTGTGGGAATAATCATTTCAACTTGACTACTTCCATGGCGCCCCTTTTGTTATGCTACATTTGCTTCCAAACCCTCATCCAATTGGCATGCAATCGTCTCAACCTTTTTCTCATGGGTCCATCTCCATCTTAAAAAGCTAAGCTGTGTATCTGGATTCTGGGCCAGCAAATACAATCATGTATATTCTGAATCTGCTTTATTGATGTCTATAATGTTAGATCAATGTAAATGTCGGTCGCTCATGAGCCAAACGGAAGAATTCTAATTACATACGAATGTAGGCGG